TGAGAATTCTGCTGTAAACATTATGTATTCTATAAAATGGCTCTCTATAAGGGATATATTAAAGGTGTAAATGAGGTAGATCCAACAACTGGTAGTGTGTTTGATAAAAACGGATTCACTATGAAGGGCGATATTGAGATGGACGGTAATGAGGTAAAAGGTCTAGGTGCGCCTACAGATGATACGTCTGCGGTTGCAAAAAAGTGGGTAGATGATGAGATAATAAAACAGGCTGCTATTACAATTCAACCTGCAGGGTTTACAATGACTGGGGATATTAACATGGGAGGTAATAAAATAACTAATCTTGATAATCCTACTAATCCAGGTGACGCTGCCAGCAAAAGCTGGGTTGAAGGCAGCCGTAGACATGTACATGCAAGTCTACCTGGACTTATCCTTACAAATGATCTCAATATGTCAACCAATGAAATAAAGGCTTTAGGTGATCCTACAACTGGAAAGTCTGCTGTTAGTAAGGACTGGACCCTGACACAAGTAAGAAACCTGGACTTATACGTAGCCACTCTCTATGTCCAGATTGATGGTACTCAAGCAATGACTGGCAACCTTAAATTAGGCGGAAATCAAATTGAAAATGTTGGTGATCCAACAACTGGAAAGTTCGCAGCCAATAGGGACTGGGTAGTTAAAATGCTAAACAAACCTGTGACTGGACTGAATATTGCCGGCGACATTGATATGAATAACCATGAGATTAAGAATCTTAAGGATCCCTCCGAGAACCAGTCTGCCGTTACAAAAAAGTGGGCTGTTGATAATAACTTTGTTAATCTCGGGGGTCGTATGTTAGCCGATATATCAATGGCCGGATATAGACTTTTCGGGCTACCCGACCCAAGGATTGCTAACGAAGCTGTGTCCAAGGGCTGGGTCGAGGGTAAGTTGTCAACGTTTGATAAGACTTCTGGTTTGACAATGACAGGTAACATTAATATGGGTGGAAACAAAATTGAAAACGTTGCTGATCCGACTACCCCCAGTCTGTTGTTACAAAAAGTTGGTTCAACTTAAATGAAGAAGGAACATTTTTACGGCTAGATGGAACAGGATCCCTAAATGTTGCTGGTACTGTTAGTTTTAGAAATACACCTACATGTTCGCAGGGTCCAACAACCTCTAACCACCTTGTAAATCTAGCCTATCTAAATTCACTTTTAGAAAGCCTTGTAAAAATAGATGGCTCCCTCAGAATGACTGGTAACCTGCAGATGGGTGGAAATGAAATAGTGAATGTTGGAGCTCCTAGTGCTGATGGGTCTGCAGTTAATAAAAAGTGGGTGGAAGATAAGATTAGCGGTGGTAGAAGAAGACGTGAGACTTACAGTTGACTTACCCTATCTGATGACCTTGACATGAATAATAATGAAATTATAAAGTTAGGTGCTCCCACAACTGATAATTCTGCTGTGTCTAAGAAATGGGTCACGGATCATGTTAGTGGGAGTTCTTTCAGTGACAGCGGCTTCACTATGAGTGGTAATATTGACATGGCTGATAATACTATTACAGGACTAAATAGTGGGTCAACTGGATCTTCTAGTGCTGTTTCTTACGGTTCTATGACTTCATGGTGTTCACAGTTTCTTAAGCGTGGTGGTGGTGTTTTATCAGGTAACCTTGATGCTAACGATTACGAGTTAACAAGAGTTGGAAATCCTACAACTGACGGTTTAGCTGTTAATAAGAAATGGGCAACTGATGAGTTCATGAGTAGTAGAGGTGGATTGGTAAAGGGTGATTTAGACATGGGAGACTCATTAACAATATGACGGACCTTAATCTTGAGTCAATTACTATTAAATCAGATTTCCCACTTTTCGGACCTGGCTGACCATACCCTTATCCCTAATCCTGTGGGCTACTGTATGGGAAAAACAATCCAATGGAAAATTTACACAGGTAAGGAAGGAAATCGCTCTAAGAACGGTAGACTTAACAAAACTGACATACACTTGGTTCAACGGGACTTTTACGACTACCGGTGGAAGTACAGCCTGCTATGTATTCAAGGGTAATAGTTTGTTCTATTTAGGAGGCCAGCCGGAGTTGGTAGATAACACGCTAGCTTGGTGTATTATAGTTAAACCTGAACACTCAATGCCCACTGGTACTAGCATGGATATGTCCTTTTGCTGGTCACTCCGATATTCGGGGTCAGGTAGTTAACATGTTGTTTATCATAAGATAAGATGTCAAGGTGGAGGTCATGCTTCTCCTGCTTAGGTAAGATTTGTGGTTGTCGTAAGAGTTCTAGTAGAACTGGGAAGGCTGGTGATATAAATTTCTCTGTATCAAATAATATTAACATTGGAGTGAGCACACAAGATAAAAAAGATGATTCAAGTAATGTGTTTGACCCTAAGAGCCTAGGCCCCTTGAGTATAATTAAATATGATAATAAAGATTAAAATAATTCTGAAAAATAATAGATAAAAAATGGTCTTGAAAAATGAGCCCTAGCATATGATAATAATTCTTGTAAATAATAATGCTGAAAAACAATAGAAAAATAATAGAAATAATAATGCCAAAAATAATAGAAAAAATAACGCCAAAAATAATAGAAAAAATAATGCCAAAAATAATAGAAAAAATAATGCCAAAAATAATAGAAAAATGGTCTAGAAAAATATGAGCCCGCGTTTTTGAGGGAAAAATATGGAAACCGCTGACCGGAAGTTGGGTGAGATCGCGGGCCGAAAAAGTGGTCTAGAACCCTCATTCCCTATACTACTGTCTTGTACGCACACGCTTTCAAAATGGCTTCTTGTGTGACTTTATTGCTTTATTACAAAGTTGTTTTTCTCGATTTCTGCTTGGAATATAAACACAATAACGGAATGACTCTTTCACCAGACATAGAATTAAAAATAGTTTCTGTTTAGCATTAATTTCTTCAGGAAATAGCTGAGGAATTTGGTAAAATGAAATGTAAAACTATATTGATCGAAATAAAGTTTTAATAACACTTTTTACTTTACAAGTTTCGAAAACACAAATACATGAGCGGTCAGAACACCATACAGCACAATGAAAACATGACATATCAAAAGAAATAGTATCGTACAAATTGGGAAATCTATAGCATACAAAATAAAATGGATTTTAAAGAATATCACGGCAAGGTTTTTCCCAAAAGTCGGGATGATTTTTGCTATTTGTTTGAAGTTAATGTTTCGGAGTTTTAAATAAGTTTTAAATTGTCCGTGAATATGTTTGACACAGTAAAATAATAAAGGAATCCTACCTTTCAAGTTAAATACAACATTTTGTGCTACTTTCGTTTTCTGGGGACGATTTTTTTCAATATTTTGTCGATTTTGAAACAAAATTTCACTCCGAAATTTGCCGAATCATTCTTTTTGAAAAGCATTATTTAATATTTACTAGCTACCCAGGTGGTAAATAATGCCTCAGATTTACTAGTCAGCTAGCCAATCAGAACGCGCGAAAGCTCATTTGATATGCTAAATTTATACTAAAACTGTATATCAATACAGAAAAAAGTTTTATATTTGTTTTATAGCACAAAGAAACATAAGGAAAGAAATTTTGCGACGTTTGCGTGCTGACATTGAGTTTTAGTATTTTTGTACAAGTGAACATAACAAATCCTACAAGGTGATTGGTCAAATTTGACGTATTAATCCGTTATATTCACCTACCGGTGAATATAACAAAATCGAAATTTTCAAAATGGCGGCTAGCCGTTTTGTTGAAGTTAGTGATACAGATATAAGCGAAATTAAAATGAATTCAGACCAGAAAAACACAAAAAAACTTGTGCAAAAATACTAAAACAATTACTGGCCTCAGGCTCGGTGATTATCGGGGAATATTCACCTCGACTTCGTCTCGGCGAATATTCCCCGATAATCACCTCTAGTCTAGGACCTGTATATGAGTTTGTATGCATTTCATTTAGCACAGATAATCTCAACTGTTTTAGGGCAAGTTGACCATGACGGTCAACATGGTAACGCTGCCCGAACCCCAATCCGGGACGAAACGACCGAAACTGACCACACCCAAAAACGACGCTTTCGCCATACTGCTATCTACCAAACCATAAAAGCTTTGGCTATTCTGAGGTGCTTACATGGTTCAGAGATGGTACTATTGGGGGTGGTCATTGGTAAGCGGTGAATTGCCTAGCACTAATATTTCACATGAAAATGGCCATGCAATAATCATAGTTTAACGTCAATTTGTGGCTTTCAAATTCAGATTAACAGCAGTGGACTTACATTACCTTTTTCCCTAAATATTTTTTATAGAAACATAAATGGTACTTATTTAAATATATTATCACTGGTTTAGTGTAAAATAGTTAATATTTTCTGACCGAAATAATAATTTGAAATGTGCCTACCTCCTGCAAATGGACGTATTTGGCCAAGTTCTCCACTTTACTCCGCTGTTTATTGGCGATCTCGTCGATATCCTACAAAAAATGTAAATCATCTCAGACATAATGGTATCAAGAACATTTTAAACAAGTTTCAACTTGGTTTCAAGTAGATCATAGCTGTTTAACCATCGACAAGGTAAATCCACAACTTTGTCCAAATTCGGCGCCATTTTGTCATCGCATGTCGCTTGTTATTATTATTATTATTAGTTTAATAAAATCCATTTTGCAGCTAAAGCTGAATTGCATGGAAAGGATATTTACAATATTAAACATTAAAATTTACGTTAACAATGTTATATATACTTATTATTAACTACCTATTATAAAAATGTATTAATAAAATGTTAACTATATTTAATGGTAAAAAAGTTCTTTAACCGTTCAGACATAACCGGTAAGAGTTGCGGATTATTATTACGCAGATCATAATTATGAGTTCGGTCTGGTAGACCGGATTTAACTATTGCAGTTAAAGGGTTGTGTGGCGAATCTTGGTCTCGAAGTGAGTTAATTAATTTCCTACATGCTTCTTCTCTTCTTGTACTCAGTAGTTTAATGTTACTTTTGTGTAATGCATGCTTCATCATAACATAGAGTGGGATACGCGATTTTTAAAGCTCTTTTTTGCACCGACTCAATAAGGTCTGATAATGTCTTTGGAAGAGCGGACCAAACTGGTGATGCATACTCCAACTGGGATCTTATAACTGCACAATAAATATGAACAATGTTTAAAGGGCTCAATCCAGCTTCCTTTAATAGGCGTAAAGCATAGATGCGTGAATTCGCTTTCTTTAAAATTTTATCTACGTGTATATCCCACGAAAGATTGTTAGTCAACCACACGTCTAGTAGTTTAAAACTGGAGACTGTCTCCACCACATCGCCGCCTATAAAAATGTCATTTTCTACCAGTTTATACTTAAGAAACGTAATAACCATATCTTTGCATTTCTTTGGATTTAGTCTCATTCCTCGTTCGTTTGCATAATCGGATATTTGGTCCACGATAATTGGTAGGAAGCTGGGTGAACATCGTGGAATTATTTCCAAGACCGTAGTATCGTCGACAAATTTGACTCTCCCAGGCCAATCCTTGAGCAAAGAATTTACAAGGACTGCAAAAAGTAGCGGTCCTAGTTTTGTTCCTTGTGGTAGACCACCGTTTGTTTTCTTCCACGACGAGTATGAGTTTTCAATTCGCACACACTGTTCACGGTCGCTAAGAAAAGCTTTTATCCACCTCACTATGGCAGGATGTACACCAAGATTTTCCAGCTCGCATATTATGACATTATGATCAACAAGATCGAACCCCTTTTTAAAGTCTGCAAAAAACAATCTAGCGGAGCAGGAAGTGTTCTCAAGGGAAGACAAAATGGTGTGCAGGAGGTATGTTAGGGCGTGAGTCGTAGATTTCCCTGGTAACGCAAACTGCTTCGTGTCCAATTTACTCTCAATTTGGGCAAATAATTTTGTCAAGGTGAACCCCTCCATGACCTTAGAAATTAGGGACGTTAATGATATGGGTCTTAGATCGTCCTCCACGCTTTGAGGTAGTGAGACTTTAGGGATGGGAACTACAATAGACCGTTTGAGGTTCATCGGAAACACGCCCTGAATGATAGACGAATTGTAAATGTCCGTAATAACTGGAGCAAGTTCATATGCAAAGACTTTCAAAATTTTGTTAGGTATCATATCTGGACCAGGGCTTTTATTGGTTTTAATTTTGCGGAGTTCATTGTACACTTTATTAGCGTCGATGAGGTATTCACCTGGTACATTGAAATCCAATTGTTCTTCCTCGCGTGTTAAAGGAGTAAAATGTGATGTAAGACCGGAAAGGAAACAGTTAAATACTTCAGCCAAGTCATGGCAATTAGGAATATCATTAGAAGGTAGTTAATTATACCAACAACTTTTGGAAGATATACCACCCAACGACTTAATTTCTTTCCACCATCTTTAAGGATTGGAAGTTTTTAGTTTCTCAACTGATTGGGCATAATACTTAAATCGGGCCCCGATTTAATTGATTGCTGGACTTGGTTTCGCCAATGTTTATACGCATCAGAATTTTTCCCATAATAATGGAGAGCTTTTTGACGTTTTATAATTAACTCTTTTATTGATGACGTCAGCCATGGTTTTTCACATTTAGTTACTTTAGTTGTTTTCAAAGGGAGTAAAATATCAATCATATCACTCATTATGTCATTAAATTTTCCATATTTATCTTCGCACGCATTTGTAGTAAAAATATCTGACCAATCAAATGAAGTTATCCAGTGGCCAAAAGGTTGTAACGAGCTTTCCCTAAGGTCCCGCTTCCATACCTTAACTTTATCAGGTTTTAAAGGGAGATTTAGGGATTTTAAACAAACCATGTTATGATCACTGTTTCTTAGAGGTGGAAATTTGATAGGATCGTATAGGCTATCATTGCGGTTAGTTAGGCACCAGTCTAAGGTTACATTATCTCTAGTATGCACCTTAATTATTTGGAAAAGGCCAATTGATCTTTGGATATATCTTGCGTTGAAACCAGTACTCCTATAATTGAAGTCTCCTGTGTTTAAAACAAGGGCATCAGGATGTGATTGCATGAAAGTATCAACATTGGTTTGGATATGAGAATAAAGGTTTACATTTTCGGTGTGGCCAGCTGATGTGGAGTGGTAGATTACAGCCAATAGTATAACTGAAGTCGAGCGGGGGAGCCATGTGGGTCTAACGAGGAGCCACAAAGACTCAACTGTAGGATCTTCAAAAGCAGTTAGGCGTTGACAATATATACTGTTGTTTATAAAAATGCACACTCCACCTCCACAAGATGAAGAGCGATCATTTCTAATAATATTAAAATTTGGAAGAGATATTGCCGAGTCGGCAATCGTAGAGGAAAGCCAAGTCTCAGTAATACACACAATGTCGATTTGGTTTATATATATATATATATATATATATATATATGTATATATATATATATATATATATATATATATATATATATATATATATATATATATATATATATATATATATATATATATTTCATAAATAATATATATATATATATATATATATATATTTCATAAATAATTAAATATATTTATTTTCATAAATAATTAGATATATTTAGCTCTACAATAAAGTATTGAGCACTCTATACATATATATACATATATATATATATATATATATACTGCATGATTCTGTTATGGATGCAACGCTTTATAATAGTGGTCACATGATGACAAAATTATGAGTGATCAAAGTAGAAAAAAATATAAATATATCTTAGGGACCGTTCATTATTTATACTCTAGGATGGGAGATTGTTATGTCAAATACAAAAATCTGGTAGCCCTCCCCTCTTTGATGATCTCAATGTTGAAGACCCCCCTTTAAAATAATGGAAAGTTTATAACCCCCCAACCGTTTGTATGAATGGTTTAAATTAATACTGTAAAGAATACAGTATAGTCAAGAATTATTGTTCCCTTGCATATTTTTTCTTTAAAATTATATCTGTATTTAAGAGATAATATAAGTTTTCGCAAATTTTTTATATAAAGTGTTTTTAATAATTCGTTGGAGAATCTCGCCGTATTGGACATATTGTAGTTTATATTCGAGATACTTATCAGGGTGTGTTAAACTATATAAAGTATAACAAACTATTAATGCACACAACCTAATCTGGCATTTATAAGTTGTTTAAATGTCATTTGAACACACACTTTTTTAGTTAAAAGTTAGTTCAAAGCCAGTTTAACCCTTTCAGTGCGCCCTACTTTATTATTTTACTCTGTCTAACACCATAAGTTATTTTACTTTTTCTATAACGCCAGGGGATTTTACTCATCAGGGGGAAAGTGCTGCCACTCAATGGGTTGACTATCTGCCTATGCATCATGTCAACCCTTTAAGTGGCAATGCGCCTAGATTCACTTACTTTATTATTTTACTCTGTCTAACGCCAGATTATTTTACTCCGTTTATCGCCAGACGAGTTTACTTGTAAGGGTGAGAGTGCTGCCACTCGCCAAGTTAATCAACTCAACACATTACGTTTCGACTTTATTGTCTTCATCAAATATAATCCTACTTTACAGGCGAACCCAATTTATACCCTCCCAATTTTGCTAATTATGCATAATTTGAATATAAGTGATTTACCATACAAATAACAATATCCTGTTAACTATAATTAACATTGCTACGCATTCTCTATGTTCAATCCCGAAGGATGCATTGTCTTTAGTTTGCTTATCCAAAATGCCTCACGTCTGGTCGGTTCCGCTGGGTCAGTTTTATCAATTAAAACAATCTCGCAATCACTAACCATTACCCAAGAAATGTTGATGGAAAAACATTTGTGTATAGGCCTCGTTATTAACTGCCTTTTTGTGGCAAGCTTTATAATTATTCCAACGGCACCTAAATTTATTTGTTGTTGCGCCAACATATTGTTTTTTTACAGACTTTACAGGTAAGAAGATAAACCACACATTTCGAGTCGCAATTCAACCTATATGGTTCACTTTGTACTGTTTACCATGATCTGTTGAACACTCAAAGCTGTCGGTTTCTCGAATATTATTGCACGTTAAAATCGTGCTTTCTTACATTTCTTACACCCCTTTTCCCTCACTAACGGCGGTACTTTAGCCCTAACTAAATAACTTTTCAAGTTGCGGCCAGTTTTAAATACCACAAATGGTCCTGGCGAAAATACTTTCTGAGCTTCTGGATCTAAGTATAATAGATGTATATATTAACCGATTATAAGACCGAAGTCCTTTAACAGAGATGAAACGTAATTGTCAAAGGTACTATTTTTCTTTTTTTGTTAGATGCTTTATCACAAGATTGTAACCTCTCAAATTCTTTCCTAATAAGCCACATTGGGTAGGCTCTATTTTGCAGCCAACTCGACAATTCCTGCAAATGTTTATTAGCGTCTTCCTCTCTTGAGCAGATCATCTTGATGCGTAGACTCTGACTATATACTTTTAACATGTGCAGGGTGTGATGAATCATAATTTTCATTTCTGGAAAACATTTCCCACTATGTTCTATATGTAGACAGGTGCTACAAAATTTTCAGTTCTTTTTCTAACCCCCCGAGACCCAAAAAAAAGAAAGTACCCCCATAGGACAAGATGAACTTTACATGACCTAGGACTAGCACGTCTCTGATCCACAACTAAAGCAGCAACCAGAAAGAGAAACCATGCGGTTTCCAGAGGCGACGGGAACATTTCAGGCCGGCATGCATTAATTCTGTGACATGCAGGGTATAGTTCGTTGTGTATACCATTATTGCTCGTTCAAAGAATTGCACAAACAAGCATATATACTCAATAATAATGTTTATATAGTATCATAGATTTGAGATTTGCTATGACTATTACGATATGATTACTAGAAGTTACTATCGCAAGGCAAAGCCCTGGGGATTGATTATACCAATAAACTTCATTTATTAATTGCCTTACACATACTGTATGAATGAATTCATTTTGTTCAAAAAAGTATCAAAATTACAACATGCAATAATTACTTGATACTGTAAAATGTACTTCGGAATTTTATATTTATACAATGTCATATTATTTTTGGTGCCAATGTTTTAACCTGACATTAAATGTCAATAAAAATCATTCTTTATAGTCTTCACTTGTGAAAATGTCTTGAAGAAAATAATTAGAAAGAACAAATATATGTCTTTTAACATGGTGCAATTAAGTTTGTTGCAAGTAATGATGGTCTTTTGTTTGTTTTCATTTGGTAAACAAGTGTTACCATTCTTTTTTGTCCAATATATAGACTATCGAATTCATTTAGCATGTAGTGTCCATCGTTGGCCATCATTATTGTCCAATAACTTGTTAGGTTGCTGTACGTATACAGGTTTGTAATATCATGACATACAATGTTCCTGACGTCCATATGGTAGATTGAAAACACGTACGGTAATTTAATAATACATGGCGCAGATTCCATCCCATTGCATTAGATGTAATATATCCATACAATATTGTAAATCAGCATTCTTGTTTTAATAGGAATACATTTCTGTTAACGCAGAAGCTCCCATCCTATTACATGCAATGTAATATATCCATATTATATGTTAACTGTAACAACCATTTGGTTTCATTCAGCAGTTAACATGGCACCATTCAAATCTGTCATAGTTGCAAAACTATAAAAAATTGGCAGCATGAGATATTAGGCACCAATTGTGCTCTACCCCCAATGGATATATCAGTGTTACTTTTTGCCACAGTGGGCAGATGAGTGATACTTTTTGCCTCAACAGGCTCTACCACAATTGGTAGTTCAATGATATTTTGTGCCTCAATGGGCTCTACCACAATGAGTAGTCGAATGTTATTTTGTGCCTCGATTGGCTCTACCACAATGGATAGTCGAATGTTATTATATTTTGTGCCTTAATGGGCTCTACCACAATGGGTAGATCAATGTTATTTTGTGCCTCACTGGCCGGGCTCGACCAGAATGGGCAGATCAATGTTACTTTGTGTCTCAATGGGCTTGACCACAATGGGCAGATCAAGGTTATTTTATGCCTCGGTGGTCCTATAGCTACCACAATGGTGCAATGTCTGTACCACCTTGGGTACACTGTTACTGTTTTGTCATACCACCATGGGTAGTTCAATGTTATATTTTGTGCATCAAAGGGATCCACAGGTGTTGTAGTTGTTTTCGCATGCACTACAGCTGGTACATTACCCTGTACGTGTGTCGATCCCAGGCCAGAATCACATATTTCTTATTAAGAAAACATATTTATTATATAAACATAAGTGTTATATAGAGTTTTTGGCCACTGAGAAAAATCGTATTTAAACACATGTAAAAAAACGATATTTTTACGTCTGAAAATATCATTTGTTGTAAAACGCATTGCCACGGACGTTTTATTGTTTTTCACTGAATTTTGTTTATATAATAAACAGAAAAATACATGGTTGCTTGGAAATACCAGATTTATTTCTCGTGTTGAACATGATATCTCACTCGTTCGCTGCGCTCACTCGTGAGATACCATGTTCAACACTCGAAATAAATCTGGTATTCCCGCGCACCCATGTATTATTCTCTATGTTCGTTCAACTTGAAACACTGACAGCTTTAGGTAAAACTACCTACAGATAACAATTCGACACCAGGTCAGTTCTAAGACAACAAAGCCATATATTATCCAGAGCTTGCAAGTACATTTTGTCTCCTTGTATTTAATAGTAATAAGACATTATTCAATGTTGTTTTTGACAAATCGATCAGTGCCATATTTTGGGCAGTTAAAACTGCCGATATTAACTCATAAAAGCACATTGTTTGCCTCTAGATTAAACACTAAAAAGATTATCGCCTTGATGTATTTTAGAAGAAAGAAATAGAGCCATACTTACCTGAATTTTTCCGAATATTTTCGATCTCTCGCATCCGTATTTAAAAGCTTGAAAAATCTTTTAGCACATGGAGATGCGTGCGCAATACAAAATCTTGTTTTGACCGCTCCCTTCATTTAACAAACGTTCCTGAGAGCTTAATTATTCCCCCCGGATTACGACATCTTTACAGACAGACAGACGGACACAAGGTCGAGATCTCGACAATACATAGATCGCGCGAAAGACTGGGTTGAGTGGACTCTGGAGAAACCACCACGTGTCAAGAATAGTGTGCTGCCTCGCTGCGCTCGGCAGCAATTATGCGAAAAATCTATAAAAAATTACTTGACGTTTATTCAAGTAATAATGCGTTACCTTTAAAATAGAATTTTTTCCATTACTGCGTACGTTTTGTGCGAGATTTCTCATGGACGCTTGTCCGCGCTGACAATTCCTCGTCATTCACACCGCGCCATTCATTTCAGTGCTTATCAGATTAAATGTTCCTCGCTCGTGGCTCGTGGGTCCACACGCTTCGAAGTTGCCAACTTGTAGCAAGTCTATATATTCATGAGAAAACCCATTCATGACCCCATTCATGTTGTCAACATAAGTTGACTCAAGCGCGATTCGAAGCGCACGAGATATTCTCACGACTTATCAACTCAAACGTTATTCTTACGATGGCAACAGTGTTTCATCGGGGAAACATGATTCAATATATTCATGCGAAAAAAGTCGCGAGAATATCTCGTGCGCTTATATAGACTTGTGCTTTCCCCAGTTGACTTGACGGTTTGCTGAATACGCGACTTCAAATCTCATTACTATACTGTATTGTGTTATGCTTCCCTGATAATGGCTATGAAATGTAGCAAGTCCATATCAAAATGTAAAGATGCTTTAAATTAACTGAACTTGATACAAATTAAGCTGCCGGATACAGAAAGTGAGAAATCAAGCCTCTTGACTGTTATTAGGCCTTATTAGGTTGCTGAAACTGAATGAAGAGCAAGCCGCTGTTAATCTGTCCAAATAAGGATGAATCTAGTGAAGCACAACAAAAGACAAACACAGAGCTCATGCCGAATGGCTGGCCTCAAAACCAAAAGTCAAAGTGTTGTTCACCATATAAGTGTGAGTAATAAGTACTCTTCCTTGCAAATTGAAGACGACGATGAGGCAGTAACGAGCAGTGACGCTGGAAATAATCAAACCTTAGTTCCCAAGAAGACTCCAACTATAGACCACGAAAAGAAAAGACGATTGAACAATACCCGAAGAAACATCCAAGACGCAAAGCAAAATTCCTTACCAATGAGCAATCAACGTGACAACATCCAACCGAGAAAACAACAATGTGATGTGGCTTTGGTGCATGGGTGACTCCATGATTAAGCATGTTGATTTCCGAAAACTTCGTCATGGCACAAGCAAACAGGTAACTGTTCGTACTTTCTCTGCGTGTAGAACTGATGAAATGGCTCACTACTGATAAAGCCGACACTTGCTTTAAAACCATGAGCGTACGCAGTACGGCCGCAGGGCCTTGTTTAACATACAAGCTGGGGGACATTTGCCCCTCCAGTCCCCCCCTTGTGCCCCCCCCCCACGAAATCACATTTTGCTCCCCCAGGAAAAGTCCCTTTTTCCTAAATTTATACCAACAAAACAGCGAAGAATAACAAATAAATAAACGGAAAGTAAGTTTTAGGCTTTATCCTTTGTCCTTGTTTAACAAAATCGATCTAAATTGTTACGTTTTTCTACCACTAAGTAATGATAAATTATTGTTAATATTTTTTTATTTCTTGGTTGCTCAGAATGCAGGAAAGAGCATTTTCAGGTTTCAAATTTAAAAAATTTTCTGGAGATTATGCCCCCACACATGTGGCCTTCGGCCATTGGTATCCCCCTCTAATAAGTATAATGATAAATTACGGTTAATATACTTTTTTACTTTTTGCGCATTTTTTCCTTCTTTTATTTCAAATACAAGTATAGTTTTCAAATACAAGTATAGTTTTCAAATACAAGTATAAATTTTAGACCAAATTTGGATGCTCAGAATGCAGGAAATGGCATTTCCGTGTTTCAAATTTCAGAAATTTTCTGGGGGAGTACACCCCCAAACATGTGACCATTGGGATCCTCCTCTGATAAGTAATGATAAATTATGGTTAATATTATTTTTAACTTTTTGTGGGTTTTTTTCTTCTTTTATTTCAAATACAAGTATAGTTAGTATACATTTTGGAGCGCATATTTGGATGCTCAGAATGCAGGAAATGGCATTTCTGTGCTTCGAATTTCAAAAATTTTCTCGGGGAGTACACCCCCCCCCCCAATTCATGCGTACATGGTATGTTCGGCGCACACGTGGCCTTCACCCATTGCTATCTCCCTGTAATATATTATCTCACAGAAAGGTCCCTTTTCAAAAAATGCCCCCCCCCCCACGGGAAAATCCTTAAAAAAGGCCCTGTTTCCTATGGATTTTACGTTGTGTCGCACTCTGGCCTTTCTTTCGGGTTGAATTAGTGTGTTTTTCTTTGTGTAACGACTCGAAAACCCCAAAATTTGGACCCAGCGAATTTATACAATATAGTGGAATATAAACAAGGACAAGTTAAAGGTTTGACAGTTTGACTTTTTAATTAACAAGTATAAATATACGTTGTAGGCTCATAAACATGCGTCGTGCTCTTGTATTTATTTGCATAATTATACATTTGCACCTAATTACATTAATTTGCGCCAAATTACTTTCTAATTCATCATATATTACTATAAAATGTATGTTTTCGATTGTATTCAGCGAGGTGGCGTTGCGTGCGGCGAAGTGAAACATGATACGGTTCGATTTGTTTTTGGAACAAGATCCAACTCCCCCCCCCACTTTTTAATTCTCAAATTGTTTATTAGATGTTTACTGGTTGGGGTTAGAGAAGGGCTTTGGGTTGGGATCAATTTATCTTATAAATGGAAGCAAATTGGCGTATTTCTTAGACGAATCGTCTATGTCTATGAACTTTTTAGCACCTGAAACTAGCCATGCATATAATGGCATTAAAAATCAAGGACTATATAATTTCTTCGCTATTATTGGCCCGTCATTATTTACGGTTGATAGTTGATGATCATAGTTACAGTGGGCCTGGCTTGTCAGGTTGAGTTTCCCGTAGCCGGAGGGTACGTCTGAGCCGGCGTCTTGGTATATTATGGTTGATAGTTGCTGATCATAATTGTATTTATTGGTTGTATGAATATGATCCAGTATCCCTATGAATATGATCCTGTATCCCTATCTACTTCTCTACTACACATTACACCCAGTACCACGAAAGTTGCCATTTTCAGGCTAGTGTGAACGCCTGAGCATGCGTCTTGTTTCATATTAATTACGATATGATCGTATTAACGGTAAAGATTCACTGAGTCACAATCTTTCTCGTCAGCCGAAATACAACATTTTAGAACTGAAAATACGCAGAGTGATTACAACTAGAGAATACTTGTACTCAGGTATAGATTATTTAAACTGGCCATTGAGAAAAGTCTATCTGGAAATCAGGCTTTAAAAACAAGCCCTTTATCCGGTATGGTTTTTGCGTCACTACGCAAGATATCCGATACAATGTAAACATAGCCCTGCGCTCATGCTCTTCTGCATGCACACTCATTATGCAAACATTATATTCATGCTTTTTTTGCCACGGCCACAGGGAATCAAGCCGCATCAGATTAAACACTGATCACTGTTCGAACTTCGAAGATATGCAAGCATGCGCAACAAAGCTAACAGCGTAATGGATCTACCTAAAGCCAACTACGTGCATAGAAGTTATTCGCGATTCCTTATTTTGCTTACATGTGTTTTCATCTGTTGTGGCGCGACACGAATGAATGGTACATTCAAGCGCAGAAATCATCTCATAGAAGGTTGGTTGTTAGGTCTTCTTTTATGTACGAGAGATTATAATGACTTTCATGATATAATTCTCTGAAGGAAAGCTAGAGAACGTGCTTATAGAGCGGGGAAATCTTGAATCCCTCTGTGAGACATGCAGACTTGTAGCAAGTCTATATATAGAGTGCTTGTTTAACCTTAACACTATACCTTTATTCCGCTTGTTTCAGCTGGAATTAAGGACTTAGACATTGTTATTGACCATTTTAGGTCTCTGCTTAATTGACATATCTACTATAGTCAGACAGCACAAAATAATGGTAACTCCGAGCAATTTCATTTTCAATTTAATATCGACGTTTCGACTAATATATATCCAGTCATTATCGGAATGGCTGATGAATACCTAGATAAAATTACAAAACGACAAATAGCATTAGCTACTTTTGTTATATTATATCGGCCATATAGCAATCAGTATTTCCAGATAAAAAAATTCACTTAATCACGGAACCAAATGGTCCTTATTATTATCCCAAGGAACTTATTATTTTCAATTAATAATGTTGGCTTTGTATACGTACTGAATATCAGTAGCTTTTGTAATTTATCTCATTGACATTGTTCATTAGTGTCCTGACGACCTGATGATGACCGGATATTAGCCCAACTGTAGAAATGTTTCCCTGGCGCTTCGGCGGGCGCTAAGTGTGCCCCCCCCCCCACACTTTTAGAGCTGTTCCGACGCGTACGCCTCTGAGTCATGCATCGATTTCAACACCATGAAGATAAGATATAGTCACTCAAGACCAAAGTTGCCGTTTTTCCCACTGACTCAACACTCATTACGTCTAAACGTGAAGGACTGAGTGGATTTACGTATGTTCTTGACAATAATTTGCATATCAACAAAGAATCTTTGTCGCTTAACCTTTCATCCAACCATGCACCACTCAGCTGAAAGAACAAACATGCATCCTGTTACATCGTCGGTCTAATTAATACATATACTAGAAATACATGCATGTAACAACCCCTCGCCTTTATTTTCCAAACACTGTTTCAACATGAAGTATTCGTAATTACGCCAACACTGAACACAGGCTCGCGTCGATGAAGCTCGCGTCAAAAATAGATGAAACTTGAACACTTTTAACACGACTTTTAACTGACAGAATTATCAATTTCTGAAATATATAAAGTAGGTATATTATTTTGGTTTCTATGGACTTTATTTAAATGTAAACTTCATAACGAAATTCTACGTAAAACCAGGGGTGGAATTGTGGAAAAAATATTTTGCTTTCTGAGACCGCAAGAGAACATTGAAAATTTTCTGCAAATAATCAAGTAAATTGACACTCTGACTGTAACTGTGTGATGTTGTCAAACTGATTTTTTGAATTTTAGAAGTCTGGAATGGCTATTTCCTGCGATTTCACAGATATATCCAAAGGGAACAACAAAATTTGTGGGGTCAGGGAAGCCATATATTTCGCTTTTGTCAATGAGAAACGTCATATGCTGATATGGTCGTTTCTCTGGAGACCACCACCCCCTATAAACGTCACACATAGTTGTCGATATTTTGTTCTTATAGTACACATAAGGTAGTTTTCTACTATTTTCTACGGTCGGCTATTGGCAATGCTTCCGCGAGGAATATATCATCTTCTGCTGACGTTTTTTATTAATACACATGAATTCTCAAAACACCTACTTTTTTTTGCATGAAATATTGACACTGATTTTAGCGCGTTTTTTCGAGGCGTTTTCCTTGAAATTTGAGTATTTTCAATGCAAGGAAGGCGTAATAATATAAATATCAAGTGTCTTACAATCAAAACGGAAATACCTGCACACTTCACTTACTGTAGTTTGTTGTGTAATACTGTATTTCTGTAGAAGCTCGGAAAAATTTACTGACAAGAAGGCGCTTATTCTTGACTTACGTTTGTTTGTTAGCATTATTTTGGATGGAACATGCGTTGATTAATTAATAAATCCCATAGCAGCCATTAGTTATGTCTTAATGCGCGATTTTTGAACAAAAATTTTTTCAGCAGCCACATAAATACAGTATTACACAACAAACTACACAAGCAGAAGTGTGCAGGTATTTCCGTTTTGACTGTAAATCCCTAAATTTCTGTTTTCTTCGTCGTCGAGAAATCGAGTTTGCGTTTGTCGTAGTTTCCCAGCGCAGCGCTGCCAATTCGTTCAGCTGTAAATATACTTCATGTAATGTATCAATATTGTGATTGACGTAATTCAAACTAAATCTAAGGGGCCGACCATTTGACTTTTGAGGGGGAGGGGGGGTGATTTTGAAAACAAATTTCCTGCAAGGCTATTCTGAACAAAAAAAAATACCTGCACTAACAAACGGGGGAAAAAATATCCTGCCCCAGTATTTGGTGGGACAAAAAAATGTTGCAAAACAGCATGGTTGCAGGGATCAGCTGGTTTGATTTTCAGGGACTAGTGTAAGGTTAATTTCTTGTTGGAAAACTCCTCAAAATGCTGGAAATAGCTTATCTGAGCTTCAAAAAATCCAAAATTTTCGGGGGGGGGGGCATGCCCCCAGACCCCTCTAGAGGCTCGCACCTTCGGTGGTCGACCCAGTTGTCTCAGAGTCCTAGTTAAGCATGGCCTGAGCTGCTGCCCTATGACGTATACTTATTAGTTAAACCATGCATATATATAGATAGATACTTTATATATGCTGTAGTGATACAGACAGGGCTGTAGCGAGGGGGGTATTGGGGGGTGGTGTGGTGGGGGTGGTTAACCCCCCCCCCAACTTTTTTAGAATCAACATATTCAGAAAATCGGGTTGGCCATTCGGAAAATTACTGCAATAATAATAGAACAAAATTTTAGTTGTTAAACAGAGAAAATATTATAAAATTGTATTGTCACTATAAATTGTAAGCAAATTGTAAATTTCGACATACTAAAGCCCCGTTTACACTACGCTCAATTTTTGGTACGGCACGGATAAAATTGGTACCCTTACCACTTTTTTGGTTCTTGGACTATCTAGATTTTGAGCCCCGTTTACACTACGCTCGATGTTTGGTGCCGTACCACTTTTTAGGTTCTTGGACTACCTAAATAGGTAGTCCAAGAACCAAAAAAAGTGATACTGACACCTTCGTGGCTTAGTATGCCATGATATATTCGGAAATTTTTTTTGTCATTCGGAAATTTTTGGCCTACCCCCCCCCCCAACTATACATGCTAGCTACGGCCCTGGATACAGACTTGCCAACTGGAACTTCTCCAGGTCTCCCGCTAATTATGTCCTCTCCAGTTACACATCCTTAAAAAAGGCCCTGAACCAAATGTTATACCTCATAGCAACATGTATTATTAAGAGCAATGCATGAAGCTAGAAAACTCAACTACTATAATTAAAGAATCTAAATAGTATAAGCTATTGAAAATAAAAATGCTGCCAAAAAAAGTGTGGCAAAAAAAAATCGCGATGGGATAAAAAAAATATATCTTGCACATAACGATCACAGAAAAAAATTCCCTGCCAGCAGTAAATCATCCCCCCCCCCCTCAAAAGTTAAATGGTCGGCCCCTAAATAAGTCTTTGTATGTGTAAATTGATACGTCACAGTGACACATTGTAATTTGGTAGAGTAATCAAATAGCTAGGGAGTGATTGAATGTTATTGTTGCTGTCAGATCACACAATACAATTATAAAATACAGTCCCTTGAGCGTTTACTGAATGAACCACACGGTGGAATCGCAAGTTCCACAAGACAGTGGTCCGATCGAGCCGGATTGTTAATATTGTGAAGAAAGGACGCGCAAATAGTCAACATTTGCGTCGCGGTCGAGAATAGAGTTGCATGAGGTTTCGAGACTTGAATCGTCAGATGGAAGATCTAGTCAAGAAGAAACGAGTGAGAGGCGGCCACAGATCGTCAGCTAACTGAAAGCTTGTGGCGAAGATAGTTGAAAAGCTTCAAAGTGCGAGCCTAGACAAAGACATACTATGGTTGCGGCAGAGCGAAACGAACTTGAAAGAGAAAATCAAGACGATAAGACAATTCGACGAACAAAAATCGACATAATCAACGCATCGAAAGAGGAAAACGTCGATGAACTTGTAACGCAAGGAATTGAAGAATCAGACAACGCGATAGCGGAACTGGAAAGAGTATTACTCGAGCTCGATGATGAATTTTGTAAAACGCAGTATGCCGCGGATGCAAGCCTTAATCAAAGTCATTTGACAACCTCCAGCGATATGTCAGTCGGTAAAATCGTTCGAGCTAAGCTCGAAACTTGAACTCAGAAAGTTTAGCGGGAAGATTTGCGAATGGCAGGAGTTTTGGGACGGCTTTTCAAGTTCAATCGATAACAATGAGCAATTGTATGATGTCGATAAATTTGCGTATTTACGCGGTCTATTGGAAGAGCCAGCAAAGTCAACAATCGCTGGGTTTTCTCTGACAGAAGCAAATTATAAGTCAGCAGTAGAACTCTTAAAGAAACGGTTTGATAAAAAGAGCGCAGTCCAGCGAGCACACGTGAACCGTGCGTGAACGAACTGATTCAATTGTCGCCGGTATTCAAGGAAAGAGACACGCGAGGACTTCGAAATTTGTACGATAGCTGTGAAGCACATAACCGCGCCTTGAAAGCACTGGGGGTGAGCGAGGAATCTTACTCCAGTATAGTTGTTCCAGTCATCGTCGAGAAATTACCGGAGTCATTTCGTTTGACGATTACAAGAGGGACAGACTTTTTACAATGGTCGATGGAAGAAATGTTGCATGCGTTTGTAAAAGAATCGGAACTGAGAGAAGCACATAATGCCGTGGGAACGACTGCAATGGTAAATATGGAACGAGATCAACATGCAGCGTCAGCGAAAGAACCCTTATACTGCTGCTGCACTCTTGGCGAATGAGAAACGAAAAAATGGTGCTTTCTGTTTGAAACAACATGCCCACAAAGACAGTCCAGGAGTAAGGGATCAAAAAACACGTAAGACTTTAGCACGTAAGTTTGGCAGATGTTTTAAATGCTTAGATAAAGGTCATATACATGTAGGGCTAATACTTGTAGCGTATCAACCAAGTGTAAGAATTGCAATGACACATCAGGTTACCCTGTGTGATAATGACAACAAGGAAACTATGCATGAGGAAATAAGTAAAGATATAACTAAACAAGACCCTTAAATTTATGTATCTAATCCTACCAATTTGCATGTAGGAATTGGTGGCCTGGTCGCCTTGCAAACTGCGCGCGGGGGGGAGAAAGGGAGGCTAAGGTACGGGTACTGTTTGACGCGGGAAGTCATCGCTACTTTGTGACTTTGAAAGCAGCTAGTCTCGTTAATCCCAAGGGTTTAAGACGGGAATTGTTAGGCATAAATACGTTCGGTCAGAAATGTACCAGGTCCGAACAAAGGGATGTGGTCGAATTAAAGCTTAAAGCTCTTTATCGTTTGGCGATAAATTTCATATTTTTTCATTCAATTGCTTCCGATGTAAATATCTCAACGAGTATTTACCCCCCTTTAAAACGGAAACCACCGTTGAAATCCTCATAAAATAACCTTTCGAACGGGGGGTCAAATGCCGTCATAACATTACACAAACCAAAAATTTTACTCACCGCTTGGCCAAATATTTTGTATTTCATATCCAGAAAATCTTGAATATCTCTTGAATTCCTCGGAATTCCCCACAAGTCAATCTGAATGAAATACTCCTTGTATTCAAGCGCTTTCGTGTGGAAAATTTCGTTTGAATACGGCCAGTAGAAATATATTTATTTTAAATTTTTCAAAACATTGGGTTTTTACTCACACACGCCCGCCACACGCTAAAATTGGCCAATAAGGAGCACCCGTAGCCGATGCACGTGCAAATCACACTGCAGGTGTAATTTGACCTTTAGAATCGATTCCGACGATTCGATCGATTCCATGGGATTTAAACAACGCAATGTTTTGGCAGATCTAAAGTGTATTTCCGGTCGAACAGCCGTCCAAAGCTTCCACTTGCCAGGAAATTTCCTGGCAAAAGGAAATATTGGGCTCTGCACTTAACAACGTCCGATTTCAACGATGCCTCACTCCAGCATGTGCAATACTTAATCTAGATCTGATCACATTCCCTGATGCATCCCGAAAGGCCTTTGGATCGTGTACCTATGTTAGGTGGAAATTGATGGTTCCTACTTATGCCCTAACGATATCCTACCTGGTAGAGCAACCAGTACAATCCCACAAGATCCATTCCGACAGATGGAAAACCCACGCCATAGATTTGAATTTTGCCAACGAATTGTCGAGGAAAAAGTGGTCGAGAGACGTACTACCACAACTGGTTCCAAGAAAAAAGTGGAATACTGAATCGCGAAACGTTAAAGTGATTGACTGCGGGGTATTGGCGGATCCAAACACACTAAGAGGTAAATGGGAAACTGGAAGAGTAATAGTCCAAGTCTTTCCGGGACAATTTGGATTGGTAAGAAATGTGATGATGAAGTTACGGGAGGTACTTATTCACGTCCTATAAGCAAGGTTGCGGTTATATACTCAGTTGAAGGCTACGAAGACGATTGAAGGAAGAAATGGGAATTCTCCCATTGCCGGGTGGAATGTTACGTTGATTTGACTAAAATCACATGACGTACGTGGAATATGTGTTGTCGCCCGCGATGAACAGAAAAAAAAGCGCGCGAATTGAAGAAGCCACTTGGCGTTGAACGTTTAAAGTACGTTGAAAGTAATGTAAAAGAAACGCTAAATATTAATGTTTTAAGCCGTGAGAATTTAAGTTTGGTTTATGGGTTATAAAGTTTATCGAAGTGACAGTGGTTTGGACAAAGGTAAATGTGAAGAAGTGTATTCTGTAACCTAAAATATTACACTTATAATGTAAACATAGTCGTAATTTTCTTTGTTTTCTTTCTTTATCTTATATAGCTTCAGATTATATACTTTATGCAGATTTGTTCGTATAATTAAATAATAAGGAAACCAAACCGTTGTTGTTGTTGTTGTCTATTGTCGCCTACGCCATCGGTCCAATACACGTGGCACGTGCGTGCGAGTAAAAATCCGATATATTGAAAAATTTTAAATAAATATTTCTACTCTGTGGCGTATGTAAACGACACTTTGTATATGAAAGCGCTTGAATACAAGACGTATTTTACTCACATTGACTATGAGAAAATTCCGAAAAGTTTAGAAGATATTCAAGTTTTTTCTCGATTTGAAAATGAAATAAAGAATGTTTGGCCAAGCGGTGAGTAAATATGTGATTGTTTTGGTTTGTTTAATGTTTTGACGGCATTTGAACCCCGCCCCCAGGATCCAATGGCGCTTTTCGATTTGAAGGGGGGAAATACTCGGTGCCGTGCTCGGTGCGATATTTACAATTAGAAACAAAATAAAAATCGTAAAAATGTAAAATTTTGAATTGAGGCGTGACGAGAAATTAACCCATTTACTGGCAGTACTCTACCCACTGACGAGTTCAATTGTCTGGCGTTGATAGACAGTAAATTAAATACTAAAGTAGGATGCATTGCCAGCTAATGGGCTAATAACAGACATTGTAACTTAAGATATGTACCTTTTATCTTAAGACGATTAAAAGATTGATTGATTGATTGGCAGATGTGTTTGTTAACCTATTTACTATGAGGTCATTGTGTCAAAAGTAAACTTCCCTTTAGAGAATTGTCTAGAAGTATAAACTTTTGCATTCAGTTCATGTGCCAAAAAGGCAGCACTTTCCTTGCGATAGTAACTCCTAGTGATTGATTTGCACCATAGGCTCCCGAAAAGGTGACTTTTATTTTTTTAAAAAAATCCATACAATTGTATTCTTGTCTATTGCACCATAGGACGTATGTCGTCATTTTCAGGTCAGTGTGAACGCCTGAGCAGGCGTCTTGTTTTTTTAGAAAAAAATTTGTAACTTTCTGAAATCGTATTTTCGTGCATTTTAATTATATTTTACTATATATTTTCAACTTAACTGAAAATTTAGCTAAATATAGTCAAGTGGCAAAACTGGAAAATATCGGTGTATACAATTTAATACACTTCTTTAATATGATCTTTCACTTGTAATTGCGTAAGGTCAACAATTGTTGTAGTGTACTATTGAATACCAAGATTCTGTTGGCATCTCAGTGATCTCACTCAATTGAATAATAATTGAAGGGTCTTGTAGATGGCAATTATCGAGTGGAAATTTATATACATTTATTAAACCTAACCAGGAACAGTTGCGAAAAATGCAACTATGGCCCTGCGATTCTGGTGCAGCGCTCTAACGAACTCGGATTCTATTGTGGTGCAGTGCTGTATTATAACGATAACAGTGCAGTGCTGTAACGTCGTTTACACAATAAAGCTACGCCTAGCATTCTGTTATCTATGATGGTGTTACCGGTATCAACTACAGACCACAAACCACTACGCGGCTACGGTATTAATAAAATTGCTGTAAGCGTAATGTAGGGTATAAACCGCGGCCAAATATCTACATACACTGATACACTAATTGTAAGTCTAAATTGGTATATATATATATTTTTTATCTCGATATAAGTGCTCCTGTTTCAATGCATCAAGCAGATGATCATTAACGACTCATGAATTGGTAGTAAATAATACGCTCATACTTTATATCGCAGAAAGATGCTAGAAAAGACATACAACTCTAACTGCTGCCTTCTTCTGCCAATCAGAAACCAGGATTTCTTGTATTAAATATTGTAGCAGCTCAAGCCTTCGGCAGATAGCAGGAGTGACACACAAGTCGCGTGCAAATCAATATATTACCCGGAAATGAGTTGTTGCAGAGTTGCACGCTAATGAAAATAATTTGCTTTCCTTTTTATCATGAAGTTCTACAAAAGTTAATTTAACTAAGAAACTTTCGCATACAATGCATGGAAAAGGCTTGAACAACATGAACAAAGTCTATATTAATGCACCTATCAATGTTAGGCCAGCGGGGGGGGGCAACAAGGGGGTGGGAATTGACATTCAAACAAAGTTTTGTGTGAAATTCCCTTCCTCAGGGATTCAAGTGCTGGTCAAATCTATGGTACCCAGGGGCAACTAAAACTGTTTTAAAGAGATTTCTCAAACTGAATAATTCATAAAGGAAGTATATTAAATCTGTATTCAGTCATAGGAAGAAAATGGCCATTTTTCGCCAAATTTATTCTCGATTTTCTTTTGAAGCATGGATTCGTTTGAGAAGGCATATCCAACAATTGCAAAAGTTCTTCCTTTGATTTCTAAATTTGGACAGTCTCACGTCATGTATTTAACCTGCTTGTCTGTATTTAGATATCGGAGAGAAACACTTGTTCATGTTGAATATATTACATGAAACATTCAAATAATACAATTTAATTTTTGAAACAACTTGTTTATTAAAGAACAAAGTATTCACATCTCAACAAATAAATGTTCATACAATACAAGACTAAAAAAGTTTCATTTGTGATGAATGTTAAAAAGCCATTCACGGATATTAAAATAAGAAAAATCAACACTTTATACCGTATTCAGTATTCACCGCCATTTTCCAGAACTGACGGCACGTAATTTGGTGACAAAATTCATCCCAGATGTACTTGAGATCCCACTGTGTCACTGTTCATTATATATGCAAAATGACAAAAAAAATTAAAATTTGTCACAGGGCTTGAAATAACAGCCGATTATTTCAAGCCCTTTTGACAAGTACCTTTGCCTCCGGGACTGTACTGATCATCAAACTCACCGGATATACTTTCTCGTCAAATCCCGCCACCCTTGCCCCCCCCCCCGGCCTAACATTGATAGCTGCATAATTCAAAGTCATACATAAACAAATGAAACAAACTTGCCCTACACTTTTAGATTTCTGATACTAAATCAATTCTTATAAATGTTTACGTTATTTGAAAAAAAAAGTTTTACAATTTATTATGTGAAACGATTTTCCAAGCTTTCTTACATGTATTTTTTATTTTTGCCTTCTTCACTCCTGGCATATTTTGAGATCAGTGAGATGACCACCCATCCAACACCGAACCACGCACGGTAACCCACGCCCGCGATCAATTAATGCTTCCGTTTCCCCGGGTGTAAATAGCCGGGCGGAGTTAGTACCGTCGCCCGGGCTAAGGCCCGGAACGGCGCTCCGCGCCGTTGGCTCGGGGATAAATTTCATACAATTAAATTAAAATCTTTGTCCAAAGGCACTGATTTTTATTTTTAGTAGCTCGTATATGAAACGCCGAACATGCATGCATGGGGCCTGCCATTCTCTCTGAAAAATTTAAAATCTTTTCGGAGTTACCATAAATACCGACACCATTATTTTGAACTTTAATCAGATAGTATTTTAAAGATTTTATTCAGTGCATTCACTTCATCTATAAGTTGTATAGTTTCCTAATTTCTATTTCTAATATGTTTGAGGGCGCAAGAATTTGTCAGCTAGTTAGTATTATTATTGTTCTTGTTTTACAGAACAGTCAGCAAGATTTCATCACGAAAGACAACGTCGGCAATCTCGAGAGCAACCTTCTGGCAAATGTAGCTCCCAACGCTATTGCACTGGGAATGAGACTATATTTCGAGATAAGAATGAAAATTATTGCTCCTGTGACGAAGCTTGCTTTAATATTTTCTCCGATTGCTGCCCAGACTATGAAAGGCACTGCGGCCTGCAGGAAAAGCTGGAACCTGAACAACCAGCATCGATGTGGAAATGTGTCGAATTCAGTTGGTCTCCTACTTGGCCATGTAAAATTGAAGGAGTGACTGGAGTTTGGATGATTTACAAATGCCCAGAACACCGAACTTTTGACGAATTGAGAACAAAATGTGAAAATGGCCCATCGGAATTCTCGTACCCCATAGAGGATTTTATTCCGGTCGTTGGAGTAAATGGCGAAACCTTCCGGAATAAGTACTGTGCTTTGTGCAATGGAGTGGAAAATTACACCATGTGGAATGTTGGTGTTTTCACGTACGTTATACCTCCTGAAGAATTCGACCTGGATATGAAGCTGAAGTTTATCGAAAACAACGGGGGGACGATTGAGCATGTTTCACCACGGGGCGAGCAACCTCGAAGATTTTGTTTTGGAAGAAATTATTTGGATAACTGTAGTTCTGCAGACCCTAGATTGTACAAGGCTTGCGTTGAAGGTCCGATTGAAGTAGTCACAACTACAAGAAATAAATATCTTTACTTTAAGAATTTCGCATGTGCGTTATGTAATGTGCATCGTGACGCCGTCGAGTGGAAGACAGCTCAAGTATGCAGCCCCATACTGCCTGAAGGATTTTCCGCCGTCTTTAACTTGGAGGGTAAAAAGACAACCACTAATGTAGTGAGGAAGTTTTGTCCTTCTGGTACGGTTTACGATCCTACCTTAAAGTTCTGTCGTAAAGGGTATATTATTACTTCTAGCGGTGAACTAACCAACGAGTTTTTGATACTGCTATGGTTTAAGCAGTCTAAAGCCCGAAGCGTTACAGAAATAAATTCCAAGCTTGAAAATGTCTTCAACTTAGCGTTGTCCTCCCACTTCTCGATTCTAAGTAACCAAATTTCACGAATGACTTTCCAACAGCAAGACGAGAGAAACGCTTTACTCGTTGTTTCATTTCGTTTAACATTGACCCCATTTCAAACCCTTATAATGGCCAACCAAAACAAAACCAGCTTAAATGCTACACACGAAAACACTGCGTTCTTACTACTTTTAGACTCTAAAGGAAATCTTACCCTATTTTGGAAAAATTTTACTTTCGTTGTGGTTAAAGTGATTTCTGAACGACTTTCATGCTATGGGGAAGAAAAACTTCAATCAAATGAATACGAAATTAATAGGGAAAATGGAACTCTTGTTGTCAATAGAACGGGACAAGTATTTTTACTTCAAGATTATACTTTATTTGAAGAAAATGGCGGAAACATTACTTTATGCCTTAAACTGGTCCTTTCAAATTGCGAAGGCGCATACGTGCCTTTAAGTCCAGACGAATACGAGATTTTCCCAATTTGACAGTTTTTTACCGCGCAACAGGGGCATTTATCAACTTCGGGGAATATCTTATTGAAGAAACTTTGAACAAAGACCAAAGTAGCACCTCAGCCTTGATCTTATCAAATAACGTAACGATATCTGTATGTTTGCCACTTGGGAATAACTACACCGAAACTAAAACAGATTATAGCAAAACAAAGATAAGCGATGGGTTACGAATTCTGACATTAATTGGTTTCAGCGTTTCCATAATCTGTCTGACTCTACTTTTGATAACTTATGGATTGTTTCAAGAATTGAGAACCGTTCCTGGATTGAATTTGATGAACTTAAGCTTTTCAATGTTACTGTCACATCTTATATGGTTGATAGGCACGACTCATTTTATTGGGACAGGAACATGTAAAGTTTTGGCAATTTTTGAACACTATCTTTTCCAAGTTTCTTTTCTAGCCATGTCTGTCATATCCTTTCATTCTTGTCGTGCTTTTTCACGGCCTATGGTTGGACGAATCGCTAACAAACCTTGGCGGAGGTTTATCAAATATTCAGCATTCGTGTGGCTCACTCCTGCCATTTTGGTCGCAATGTGCGTCATCTTGGACGAAACTGAGGCGTTCTCAGTAGATTATGGAACAAGCTGTTGGTTGGGAACTAAAAATGCTAAGCTGTATTTATTCTTATTACCCTTCGCTATATTACTTCTTTACAACATCTGCACCTTCTCCCAGACAGCAGTCAGTTTATCACGTCACGAGAAGAACAGGAGGACCTTACAACTTAAAGAAGGAAAGCAAAATCTTCTCATCTGCACAAAACTTGCATCGTTGGTTGGATTCCCTTGGTTGTTTGCGTTCTTTGGCGTGCTGTTTCCTGATGTAGAAGCATTCGAATATTTGTTTGTTGTTTTTGTTTGCTTACAAGGATTGTACATTGCAATGGCGTTTCTATTCAATAAGAAAACGCTGAAATTTTATAAGGATCGGTTCAACATCCGCATCATTGGAAATACATCTTTCAATACCACACCAACTTTCCAAATGACATAATGAAATGGTAGTATCGAAGTCCAGTTAGCTGCAACTGTCAACTATAGTCTGTTTGTTTGAATGCTGTAAGGCTGAGCAATAGTTGGTTATACCTTCATGTTTCGCACACGAGAGAGTTAAGTTTACATTGGGTGAAGATCAAAGATAAATTATTCGTGCGCGAAACATGAACATGTCACCCCATTGTCTACATCGAAACGGAAATCGAGAAAGAATATTGGCGTTGGAGCCGATCGGATTATACTATAGTATTGTATTGTACTAAGTCATATAGTATAGTGTTGTACTAAGTCATGCGTATACGCATGATCGCACATACCAAAACTGTCCGCGCGTAAACAATCCAGTCGAAGACTGAGTAGTAGCCTTAATTTAAATGTATTTTATTTAACTTACATTTATTGCCACTGATTTTTGGGAGACCTACGGTTTGATTAAGGGCATGAGGTAACGATAATTATCACACAAAATCATGCATAAGCTATAGTGGTATTTAAAAATTATCTTGATATTTAAAAATAAACTTAGCCTGCGCAGCAGCTGGTTTTTGTGTACGATTTGCGGGCCGGAAGATCAAGGCGGCTATAGCTCCACGGAAGTAAACGTGCATGGGGGCTAATACCCCCCACGAGCAGTGGCGTGCTGGGTACTATTTTTCTGGAGGGGCCAGTGGGCTGTCAGCCAATATGCGCCCCTATAATGTTACACTTGATAAACGAGGGCCGAGTGCCGCAGGTGCAAGGTTTGTCTAGGGGGGTCCGGGGGCATGCCCCCCAGGAAAATTTTTGAATTTAGAGTTTCTGAAACGCCATTTCCTGGACTTTGGGGGAAGATTTGACAGAAATCTGATGGTCAGGAAACGGCATTCTAACTTGTCGAAATTTGCAATTTGGTTAGAATTTAGTAGTAGTACTTAAATTATGCAATGCTAACTACTTCCAGCGATTAATTTAATCCCAATTCTGTTCTCTACTGATCTACTGTTCTGAGCACATTTACAACTTAAAGCTCTTTTATACAATAACACACGCACCCCACGCATATGCATTTTAAGGTTTCTTTGCCTGGCTGCCCAAAGGGCATGTTTCAGCATTATTTCATTATTTACATTACTCATGCTTCTTGTGCAAACAACTAAATTGCGTACACAACTTTACATCAGTTATCATAACTTCAACTATCTAATTTGCGCCGCTCTCGTGATTCGTGAA